CATAATCTTCCTTCAACACCGCATCAGATTTTGAAGAATATATTCACTGAGCACGCACTCTGTGCAGGGCATGTCCTGAGCATCGAGACAGGGTTTGCATTTCCATACCTGGGGTACCTGGGGGGGAAATCAGTCCCTTGGCATCACCACCCTTCCTCATTGGGTTGCCATGAGAATCAAATGAGCTCAGGTGTGAAAAGGGCTTAGCATAAGCCCTGGGACATGGTCATTCTTGAAGTATAAATAAAAGTTCAGCTTTCCTGGCTCTTGAAATGGGTCCATGCAGTTCTCATCTCAAGCTTGAATCAGACCAGATGCTATTCTATTCTAACGAACTGATATCTTTGTGGTGTCTCCTAGAGGGGCTCAAAGCTCCTCCCATACAAGATTTGCTCCCTGCAACCCAGTTCAGATCTCCCAGAATGCCACATAGCAGAGTCACGTCATTTATGACACCTGGGGTCAGGAGGCTATTTCAACATGTCAAGTGAGAGCTCAGAGGACCCTAACCCCAGGCCAGCCCTGAGCGGCAGGTGTAATGAGTGCTGACTAAGTAATCCGTGTGCGCCCCACTAATCCCCAGCCACGTCTGAAGTCGGGCTGGGTCTGTATGGCTAGTGTGGGTGGATGGGGTAGGAGCAGAAATGACTGTGTCTTCCAACTGAGGCGGCGAAAACCCAGAGTGCCTCCCTTTCCCTCTCCCTTCAGGGTGACATCAAAGGTTATATGTTCCAAATGGTGAACCACAAGATGGCAAGTGGAGAAAAAATAAATCCTGGAGCCTTGAGTGACTGTCTGGAACAAGCCTCTGGTCCACCCAGTAACCCAAGAGAGAAATAAACACTGGTTTGGGGTTTTACTTACCACATTATCTCTAAAGAAACAAATCCGTTCAAGAGAACGTGTGAAGATAAAACTAAGGGACTTCAGTATTCACTAATGGCAGACTAGGTAATTCAGACCAACCCTCACCCTAAAATATATATATATCTATATTTTTTAAATGACTGCTTCAAAGCACTGGAGGGCCAGCATGGCAGTGAAAATTTACCTGGCCACCATCTGGCCGTCTGGGAGAAGATAAAAACCCAGAGCAGTGAGCTTGATCTTTGAGGCCACTTTTCTCCTGGGAGCATTTGTTAATGATAACTACGCCAGTGCTTGGTAGCTGAGCAGCGGATGGCCTGCTAGGGAGACAAAAGGTGGATGCTGGTAGAAACCCGCAGGGTAAGTTGGGAAAGCAAAGAGCTGTACTCTAGGAATGAGGGGAACTGAGCCTTCACACAGCCTCAAGTCATCTGGGTGGCCCAGGCTGTATCGGGCCTTGCAACTGGATGAGAGATCCGACTGCTAAGGCCGCCGGGCTCCTGGAAGAAGCAAACAAAACTGCTCCCTGGAGAGAAAAACAGAACATTATTTTAAGCCTACATTCATTTCAACAACAAAAATTTTAAATACAAATTCAGATATTAAAAAAAAAAGAAAAAAACCGGCATAGACTGAAATAAAACAATATGAACAAGAATCAACAAAACAAACAGAAAATAGAAACAGAATCACTTGGTCTCCAGATAGTGGCATTAATCAGACTTTAAAACAATTACTTTACTATGTTCCAGGAAAAAAATAAGATTAAAAATGTCAACAAACGGCCTGGTCAGTGTGGCTCAGTGGCCGAGCGTCAACCCATGCACTAAGAGGTCACCAGTTTGATCCCCAGTAGAGGTACATGCCCAGGTTGTGGACCCAATACCCAGTGAGGTGCATGCAGGAGGCGGCCAATCTATGTTCTCTCTCATCGATGTTTCTCTCTCTCTCTCCCTCTCCCTTTCTCTCTCTCTAAAATCAATAAAGAAAAAACATTTTTTTAAATAAATAAGAAAGTTGAAGACGACTTTAAGAATTCTAGCTCCAGCAAAAGGGTGATGCAACTTACTGAGATTTAAAACAACAACAACAAACAGAAAAAGAACAGGTTGGTTGGGATTGGGGTTAAATGGAAATAGCAGGTTTCAAGTTTTACCTGTTGAATTTAACATCCAGGCAGGAATAACAAACGTGCCATTATGTCCTGAGTAATTGTTCTTTTTCTTGTCATGTTCAGGAGTCTCCAAAGCTTTCTTTCTTTAAAAAGAAGCTGATAAACCTTTCTTGTCTCAAGAATCCAGCACCCTCAGAGGCCTCTCTCTCTCCTGCTGGAATCCATGGTTTGCCTCCCAGGGTCGATGTACAAATGGATATTTGCAGCAAAATGTACAGTGACTTGCAAACTGCATCTGCCTGGTATTCAATCATAATGATCTGGTCAAGGCAACCTTCACAATACCCATCACAACAAAATAATGTGTTTTCTAGTTTTTAATACCATCATCCAGGGCTCCATTATTTTTAATACTATAAGGGCAAGTTACAGGTACCCTAAATGCTTTGTTTGTTTGTTTGTTTTGTTTTTTTTATCCTCACCTGAGGACATTTTTTGATATTTTGTTCAGATAGAGTGGGAGGGAGAGAGAGAGAGAGAAACATCGACGTGAGAGTGACACATCGAGTGGTTGCCACCCACACGACCCAACCAGGGCTGGGGACAAACTGCAACCAAGGTACGTGCCCTTAGAGGGAACTGAACCCGGGTCTCTCTGGACCACAGGCCAACGCTCTAACCGCTGAGCCAAACCGGCCAGGGCCAGGGCTCCATTATTTTTAATACTATAAGGGCAAGTTACAGGTACCCTAAATGCTTTGACTTATCAAAGTATGAAATTTCTGCATATGACAACTGACTTTAAATGACGGAGCAAAGACAACTTGGTGTCAATCTACAATATTATCTTAAGGATTCTCATGAGTTTTTAAAATAGTTATTTGACTTTATTAACAGAAGAAAAAATAAAACACTGGCCACCATAAATTTCTCTTTCTCTTTTACTTAGCAAACAGCATGACTTTCACAATAAATTCTGTGGCTAATGGATGAAAATGACACAGCATGCTTTCTTTTCGATGAAAGTTCCCAAAAGATTAAAGATGATGACGACAGCTAATGTTTATTGAGCACTTTCTACATGCCGGAAACTGTTTTAGGGACTGACATGAATTCACTCATTAAAGAGATGTAAAGATAGATGATATAAATTATATACCAATGATATAAAGAATATTATTTAATGGAGAATCAGGCAATTCTTTTTTTTAACTCAAAAGTATTCTTTTATAGAATACACCACAACTCTGCTGATACAAGAGGGGATCTAATATATATATATATATATGGGAGAAATAGGGGAAAGGGGAAAAAACACTTTACAATAATAGACTACATGTAAATGTATAATTTTTTCCACAATATATTTTTGTTGTGAAATTAGAAATAAAATTTTCAAAATCAATGAACAGGAAAATAATTTTATTTTCAAACAACCCTTTACATGCCAACATTAAACTTTAAAATATCATTAACTTTTAAAATATAAAGAGCATCCATGTTATTGCCTTATGCAATCAAATATGAATTTTTCAACACTAGGTATAGTTGTTCCAGATGTTTCATTCTAGTTTTCCCTATATAACTACTACCATATTATTGTTTTTCCTGAATATCATCCCAAATACAGTCATTAAGAATACTTCATTCATGCCCTGACGGGTTTGGCTCAGCAATTAGAGCGTCGGCCCACAGACCAAAGAGTCTTGCATTCAGTTCGGGTCAAGGGCATGAACCTTGGTTGCAGTTCAATCCCCATCTCTGGTCGGGGTCCTGGGGTTGTGTGGGAGGCAACCAATCAATCTGTCTCTCTCACATCAATGTTTCTCTCTCTCTCCCTCTCTCCTCTCCTACTCTATCTGAAAATCAATAGAAAAATATCCTCGTCTGAGGATTAAAAAAAAAAAAATACTTCAATAATGTTGTATAACTTGATCAAACTTCCTAATATCACCAGCAGAAATGGCCCAAGACATATATATATATTTTTACAACAAAAGACCTTTTCAAGAGAATTTTACCTAATATAATGTTTTAGTTATTAAATATCTTAATGATTTATAAGTAATTTGAGACATTATTTAACAACATTCTTGATATTATGAAGGGTTGAAATTTAATTGCCAAGCCTGTTTACTTCTTTGGCCATTCTGACCAGAGATTCCTGGAAATGTATTATCTTGCATAGCTTTATCTTTTCCTTTCTTTTTTAAAACCTATGTGTAGCTCGCCTATAGACTGTGAACCTTATTATTTAAAAAGAACTATGAATTCACAGAATCATTTGACTTTTTAGATCCTATAGGAACCCAAGGGTCTTTGAATCCAGCCCCTCACACGACATTTGAATACTCTGCACATGAACCCAAATGTTTCCCATCCCCTGCACCAGCCAAAATACGGAGTGATGCCCAAAACAACCCACTGCATCTTCGTTTTCATTATTAGAACTGTCTTCCTCATGGTGAAACTTTCTTCCCCAGAACTGCTACCAAGGGCGGACCCACCAATCTCAGCCCTGGCCCCGGCAGAATGCCTTTGGGCCAGTCGATCTCACGCCGCTCTCGTTTCCTAGGCTGTAAACTGGGGATAAGAAGTGCACGTCATGATGGGTGTGAAGAGTAAATGAGCATGTTCATAAAGCACCTGGCACAGCACAGGGCCCCCTCTTCGGAACAGGGAACCCTCCCCTGCATGGCTGCTATCAGCAAAGTAGTGGCAGCTAAGGTTTTCTCTCCTCCAAGCCAAATATCCCCATTTCCTCAAAAAACAAACAAACATGGAATTGATATATATATATACCCATTTTGTCAACTTAGAGCACACTCCACACCCATAAGTGTCACTGCAATATCACATTTCTCCTTTCTCTATTGCTGATGGAATCTTCTCTCCCCTTCCCCCCACCACCAGTGTCCCCACATTTAACCCTCTGGCTAGCTGGGCTACAGGGGAAGGCAATAGGTATGGATGCTTTCTGGGTCTAAGGTGAGGGGACGCCAGAAGGGCCTCGCAGACATTAAGACGCATCTGAGAAGCTTCCCTCTTCATTCTGGTAAGATGTCGGCTCCTCCTCATCCAGGGTCACTCCTCTCTGTCCTCGCCATTCCTGCCTCTGGATTTCACAATTCTGGATGGTGGCTCCATAGGACATCTTCTTTTTGGGACTTGCAAAACTCTCATGGTTGAGTTCTGTCTCCTCGGCTAGTTCGTCTTGGTCGATGATCCCGCACTTCTCCTCGGAGAGGTTCTCGGGGTCGGCCCACTCCTGCTTCTCCCCGGAAGCGAAGACCCCGTAGAAGACCACACCGCTGTAGTGCACCAGGGCAGCTATGAGGAACACGTTCTGCCATTCCTCACGGGTCTAAACACGGAAACAGCACCAAGTAGCATTTTATCAACAAAAAAGACGTGAACAGTATTTTCTGGACAAAAGCAACCAACCACCCCGAAGGCAATGTGGTGCTTCTTGGGAAGACACGTCAGAAGCAGGCCTAAGATCCCAACAGAGTTTGAGTGCTCAAAAAATGAAAGTTAAGCCCTGGCCGTTGTGGCTCAGTGGTTAGAAATCTGGCCCAGCACTGGAGGGTCACCGGTTCCATTCCCTGTCAAGGGCATGTATCTGGGTTGCAGGTTTGATCCTGGGCCCTGGTCAGGGCACATGCAGAAGGCAACCAATTGATATGTCTCTCTCACACCAATCTCTCTCTCTCTCTCTCTCTCTCTCTCTGTGTCTCCCGACTCTCTCTAAAAATCAATGGAAAAAAAAATGTCCTTGAGGATTAACCAAAAAAGAAAAAGAAAAAGGAAAAGAAAGTTAATACTACAATGAATATGCCTTTTTTAATTTAGAAAAATACTTTATAAAATAAACATCACATAAAATACATGCAGTGCCATTTCCCAGCTCTTTAAATATACAAATGAGGTTCTGACTCACCTAGCATGCCTAGTGAAACTTGCTTTAGGAACCCACCATTTCATTTGATTTCTGTTATTTATTTATTTATTTGTTTGTTAATCCTCACCCAAGGATATTTTTTCATTGACTTTTTTCTTTTTAGATAGAGTGGAAAGGAGGGAGGGAGGGAGAGAGAGAGAAACACAGATGTGAGAAAGGCACATCAATTGGTTGCCTCCCGCACAACCCCAACTGGGGCTGGGATCTAACCCACGACTCTTTGGTCTGCGGGTCAATGCTCAACCGCTGAGCCAAACCAACCAGGGCAGAAACCACCATTTTAAATATCAGAGGTCTCCTTCTTGCTTACTGTTGGAGATGTAACAATTTGAGCCATGAAAATATTCAGTCTTCACTGTCAATAGCTTATGCATAATCATATTGTCTGTGTAAAATACAGTATCAAAAATAATGAATATTTGAGTTTAAAGTTACAAGAAGATAGTATCTGAGATTTAATAGCCATGTTATCAATATTATCATCTCATGAACAGAGAGGGAAAATGTGGATCCTCTCCCTATAAAATTCCCCAAATTCCACCTCTCTTTTCTATTCAAAAATAAGATAAATTGCCCCCACACTTTCTTCTCCAAGAAGTTAGGAGAATTTCTGAAGTCATATTTGTAATAGGCAATCTAACTTAAAAAGTAGTTGGATAAAAACCTCATAGTCTATTGTGATATGACAAAAGACTTAACTAATCTTGCTCTGTCTTCCACTATCCACACTGTATATAAGGGTCAATGTGACGCTGCTGGAGACAAGAATAAATGGAACTAGAATAGTGCATTGTATTTAGTCTGTATTGATCATGGATGCTCTCCTTAATAGCCATATGCAATAAAATAAAATACATTATTTATGAAATGAAAAAAAAAAAAAACTCATAGTATCAAAAAATTCTTATTTGTAGCCCTGGCCGGTTTGGCTCAGCGGTTAGAGCGTCGGCCTGCGGTCCGGAGAGACCCAGGTTCGGTTCCCGCTAAGGGCACGTACTTCGGTTGCAGTTTGTCCCCGGCCCTGGTTGGTCGTGTGGGTGGCAGCCACTCGATGTGTCCCTTCACGTCGATGTTTCTCTCTCTCTCTCTCTTCCTCTCTCTCCCTCCCACTCTATCTGTACAAAAAATGGAAAAATATCCTCGGGTGAGGATAAAAAAGAAAAAAAAAAATTCTTATTTGTTGAAAGCAGCATCCTGAAAACTTTTCAGTGACAAAGATTAAGAAACCATGTGACCTGTGGTTGAACTCTGGATGAATCTGGGGTCTTCCTCCACCACCCACCCTGGTCTAAACACAGAAAAGCTCAGTAATAACCCAGCGCCATACCCTTGTAGGTCCTTAGGATGGGTCATTAATGTCTTGTTCATTTTCTTCATAATAAGGAAGCATAACAGCACTATTTTTGTGCTGGAACATGTTAAGCAATAGATGGAAATGGCCTATAAAGTTTTATTACTTGGAATTATAAAACAATCTTGAGTAATTTATTCATCCTGAATTTATTGCCTCAGTTTCTTCCTGTCTCTAAACAGTCTTCATGGTGTTCATCCCCATCACACACACACACACCTTTTATTTTTCGGTTGAGGAAAGGAAACATAGAACCAAAATTAATCAGTCGTGTTGCCATCAGTAAACAATAGATTAAAGGAGAAGGAGGAGAAAGGAAGGACGAAGGGCGGGAGAAAGGGAGGGAGGAAGGAAGGAAGGGTAAGAGAGAAAGAAAAAAAGCAAATGCAAAAGAGGTTCAAATGACTCAGCCAAGGTCAAGGACATACACATTTACAGGCTGGGGTAGGGCTCTGAAATCTCCAGTTTGTGCAGTGTTTCAGTCCTAATACTCACAGACCAAAGGAGAGCATTACCTTGTGCTTGGTCATCGCACCAACAATGAGGGGACAGACCATTCCAGAGAGGGTCCCCACTCCATTTGAGATGCCCATGAGAATGCTGGCATAACGGGGGGCAATGTCCAGGTGGTTGACATTAAAACCTGTAGTGAAAAGCTCAAAATCAGAGTCAAGACGAGAACTCCAAATACACTTTAGAAAATACTTAGCTTCCCCCCAACTCTCATCAATCTGTGTGTTTTCTTCCAGCATGTGAATGGGGGGTACCTCTACAGAGAGGGCTGGTTTGCGGCTTGTCAGGCTGTGTCTGCACATAGCAGAGGAATGTGCTGTGGTTGATTAGCAATGTCTACCATGGACTCTGCATGGGGAAAAGTATGGCACCTGTGCCTTGTAGGTTCGGAACTCCAAAATGACAGCAATACTGAACAGCAGAAAGCCTGGACCACATTTATTCAGAGCAAACAATCACACAATCACATTCAGTGTGATTAGAGTTGAAGCCTGCCTCATAACATCATCCCTCCCAGACCTCCACTCACCCTCAAAAGGCCACCCTTAGCCAAATGGCATCATAGAAAGGGTACTTTTTAAATAATACAATTTGCCCTGGCCAGTGTGTTAAGTGGTTAGAGCATAGGCCTGTGTACCAAAGGGTCAAGGATTTGATTCTCAGTCAAGGACACATACCTGGGTTGCAGGTTTAATCCCTGGCCCCGGTCGAGGTCATGTGGAAAGCAACCAATCCATGTGTCTCTCTCATATAGATGTTTCTCTCTCTCTCCCTCCCTTCCACTCTATCTAAAAAAAAATCAATGGAAAAATATCCTTGGATGAGGATTAGCAAACTAACTAACTAACTAACTAACTAACTAAATAAATAAATAAATAAATAAAACAATTGCAGAGACATTGGCAAAATCCTCTGTAATTTACAAAACATTTACATGTATATACTTGATTTGGAGTCCGTAAATCTGGATTTTAATCGTATTTCTACCACTTGTCATTTTTAGGCCTTTGTTTCTTCATCTCTAATATGGGGTAATATTACTACTGAAGTCATATAGATGCTGTAATATGAGACCCAGGGGAAGTATGTGTGAGAGAGCCCATGGCAAATAGCTAAGCTCTACTAACTACCACAACCGCCACTACCACTACTACGACTAACTACCACTAACTACCACTGCCACTGCTCTGCCATTAACTACCACTGCCACTAACTGCTACTAACTATCTCTTCCACTGACTGCCACGACTACCACTAACTACCATTGCCAGTACTACTCCCACTGTGACACTGCTAAGCATGCCCCTCTCTTGGAGGTTTGCCATCGGAAGAGAACGGTGCAGGGAGTGTAAACGGGTACGTGGCCAGCATCTCACCATTCACTGCTTATCAGAAGAGGGTGGGTGGAGGGGAGGAGCGAGGCAGGGCAAGGGCCAGGCTGTGAAGGGGAGGCTTCAGGCGCTGAGAACACTTGTCCAGTACTGCCCAAGGGTGAATCTTAGTCAGAAAGCTGCCTCTGGACAAAGGATTTAAACTTTCTGAACCTCTACTTCTTCATCTATAAACTGGCATAACCATCCTTGTAAAATTGTTGTAAGAATTAAGTTAAGTATGCCCAGCCAGTGTGACTCAGTGGATTGAACGCCGTCCCATGGACTGAGAGGTCCTGGTTCAATTCCCAGTCGGGGCACATGCCCGGGTTGCGGGCTCCATCCCGGTGTGGGGGATGGGGTGTGCAGGAGGCAGCCGAGCTATGTTTCTCTCTCACATCGATGTTTCTATCTCTCTCTCTCTAAAAAATTAATGAAAACATATTTTTAAAAAAAGAATTAAGTAACATATATTCATTACATGGCACATAGAGGTGAAAACCAGCTCTATGTTTTTCTTGGTTGGTTATCCATCTGTCTTGTTTCCACTACCTCCCTGAACTGGCAAAGTGTCTGGCACACCGTAGACACTCAATAAATTATTGTTTAATTAATTACAAATTTAAGCTATAAAATTGCAGCAGGAGGTTGTCATTTCTATTTGTTCATATTTTTGTTGTGCTTTGTTTTACTTTTTAATTCTCTATTCTGTGCAAAAAACCTGAAAATAGAATTTTAAAAAATGTTTTCTAATCTGGCACATTGGCTGGTGGTATTTTCCTACCTCCATCCAGGAAAACTTTTGAGAAAATCTTTTCTTGTAATAAACATGCCATCTCTTTCAGATCAGAGTGGCAGACGATCCGAATATAAAACAGCTGCAAAATTAATTAATCTTGCTGTTGATTTCATTGTGATAAACATTTTATTACAAAAGAACCCCGAGATAAGAAGCAATTAATCGGATTGTCGAGCATTTTATTCCGATGCAAAGCTCAGGCATGTGTGTTCAGCTCAAGATAACGTGAGAAAAGTCATTTAGGTTTCTAGCTGCACAATCCTGCTGTAGGGAAATCTCTGAGAAACTGAGATATTGATAGATTTTTTGCAGCAGCAGCTGCAGATACCAAAAAAATTTTTTGTATACAAGCTGGGAGAGTCTGTCTTCTCCACCTAGGACATGTCTCAAAATAGGCACCACCCATCCCTTGTATCCTTCAATGTCATTAGTCTCGACTCTCTTGTCTATAATCAGTCCCTCGATTGTCCCAGTCTTCCTTGGCATCCCTACAAACTCCTTGTAAGTTGGCAGGTGGCCAGTCCTGAGGAACTACCGCCCCCATGGCCATAGTCCCTCCTATCATATCACTGTCGGTCAGACAAACCTGAATTCCAGTCCTGGCCACTTAACTTACCTGGGAAAGTTAAGTCACCTTTCCAAGACTCAGGGTCCTTGCTGGTTAAAGGGGCAGAGCAATACCCTTCTTGCAGGGTTGCTACAGGGATTAAATGAGACCAGGTCCAAACAACGGCTAGCTTGGAGTAAGTGCTAAAATCATGATGGCAGCGCTGCGCTTTGGGATGTTGGATTTTGCTCCTTCTGACGGTGGCCCAGTTGGCAATCTGGGAGCAATAGGAACTGAAACATTTCAGTATCTCTGGGCAGGACATGAATCTCCTTGGCATCACAGAGCTGTGGGGAAGGGATTCTTCAACATCCTCCGGGAAACAAGTCGGGATTGTTCTGTTCTTGCTACTCAAAGTGTGGACGGCTGAGCAGCAGCAGCAGCCTGGCTGAGGAGCTTCTTATAAATGCAGAATCTGAGGCCCACCCTGGACATGCTGCATCAGAGCCTGCGTTTGGCAAGATCCTGGGGTGATCTGTACCTTGAAGAGGGAGAAGGTCTGGGCCATAGTGAATAAGTATTAATAATAGTGACTACTTAATTTGGCTATGCCTCTCGCGCTGGGCTAAGGGCTTCCAATGCTTTGTTTCCACTAGAATGGAAACTTTATGAGGACACTCTTTGACTTTTTCCCAAGGCGACATCCCCTGTGCCAAGCACAGTGCCTGGCGCGCGGCGTGTGAGTGAATGCACGGATGAGTCCATTGACATCTCCCAAGAGCCCCGTGAGGTCACCATTGCATCTTCCCGATCGCTACTAGAAGAAATGGAGGCTTGAGAAGTCAATCACTTGGCAATTTTTTTTCTTTTATAAATAGTAAGTGGCAAAGAGAGGACTCAAAGTCTACATAGCTCCAAACCCAAGTTCTCAGCTGCAAGCTACTTTTAAAGCAGACTTTTTTCCTAATTTTACTCTTTGCCAGACCTATTTTGGGGTAGTTTACACCCGAGCTTCCATATCTGTCCATTCTGGGATGTTACCACTCCGACCTCTTAGGCAGATGAAAGGGAGATCGCAGGCCTGGAGCCAGGCAGGACTGCCCCTTGGCTCTTCCTTGGCCACCAATTGTCCCCTGTGTGGCCACGGGAAGGCACCCAGTCTTTCCGAATTTTAGGTACCTCGTGAGTAAAATAGTGATATGACTATTTGCTTCCCGATGTCATCAGGTAGAACCAATTTATGTGACGTGTTCTGTAAGTGGTGGTTTTCAGTAGTATGGCATGTTTTAAAGGTAGAAGAACAGGTGAATTTTACTTTTTCACCCAGTTTTGCACAGGAGCTTCTGAAGTCTGTGAGATGCAACACCGCGGTACTGGGACCTCTGCCGTGGTGGGCTGTGTTCTGCTCCTGTAGAACGGGGTGCCGACAGCCCCGGCAGCTGGGAGGACTCGGGGGCTGGCGCGCACGGGGCACGCACAGAGCGACCACCGTTAGATCGCACCGTCACCGGCACTGTTATCTCTGCCTGTCCCAGCCTGTTCCGAAAGTCGCTTCCCCTCTCTGCAAGGAAGGCCATGGAGTAGACAACACGTGGAGAAGCCTTCCCGTCTAAGCAACTCGGATTGCACGACGAAATGTCCACTGAACTCGTATCAGCAGGTCACTAGGAGGAGGCGAGGGGTGGACCGGTCGCAAAGCCTCAGGTAGGCAGCATGACCTGGTGCTAACGCAGGGAAGTGCCACTTCACCCGGCCACACGCGTGGCCTCTGCCAGGCCTCCGGGGCATTGCCAGCACTTTGTGTCTTTTTCCAAGACGGAGAAACGAGGGACAAGCCCATGGCCGGCCTGCTCCGGGAAGGTCAGCCAGCATATGTTCCCTGCTTTCTCCTAAGACTTGCTGGATCTATAGGAAAGATCTGGAAACCCGAAGGACACTTTACCTGAAATAGCAAAGCCACTAAATCCCACGGCAAGCACCAGAAAGGAGATAGCCACCCCTTTGGTGTGGGAAAAGCCGACCACCAGGAGTAAGGTTGCCTCCATGCCGAAACCTGCGAATGGGGACCGCAAGGGGAAAATGTCATTGGCAAGTCAGTCAGCCCAAGCTCATGAATTTATTTACTAAGACTCTACTAATATTTCCGTGGACTAGTTTTTAGTACACACCTTTTGGCACGGTGCTTACAATATTCCCCAGGTGTTTCTTGACTGCATGACTATGTTACTATTACCCAGCTGCTCCGTGAGCCTTCTGACTTTATCCTGGTGCACCTTGAACCCCAAATGGCCCAGCAGACTCCAAAGAAGCCCCTGGGGGAGGGATGTTGCTTCGTGGGTAGCTGCCCCTGCCATTTCTGAATACCAAACTCTCCTTTATACTGTGAGTGAGTTCCCTTCGTTTATATGTTATGGCCTCTCACAGAAAAATAAAACGACAACACTCTTAGTATTTATTGCCAAAGGTGAAGATCTATGGTGAACATCTGAAGCAAAAGGCATAAAGCAAAATTCTTCCCTTTCAGAAGCTCTCAGGCTTCCTTATTAAAGCCATGAGATGTTTGCACAGAAACACAGCCGAATAAAAGTACTTCCTGTGCCTGTCAGAATGAGTGACTCCAGCACAACCAAAAGGATGAGGAAATCCTAAAGATGCTCCTCTCACACAACACACACACACACGTTCAGCCAACAGCAGACAGGATGGTGATGTAAGTACCATTTCCAGGTATAAATGTGCCCTAAAAAATGGAAGACAGGATGCTTCATTCTGAAGACTGTCTGCTGATTTCAGATGTCTCCACATGACTGTCCTACAGGTGCCTCAAAGACAACATGCCCAGCCGGGCCAGTGTTGCTCAGTGGTTAGAGTACCAGCCTGTGCTCCGAAGGGTCGTTTCAATTCTCGGTCAAGGGCACATACCTGGGTTGCAGGTTTGATCCCCAGCCCCAGTCGGGATGCATGCAGGAGGCAACCAATCAACGTCTCTCTCACATTGATGTCTCTCTCTCTCTCTCTCTTTCTCTCTCTCCCCCACCCCCCACTCTCCCTCCCTTCCACTCTCTCTAAATTATCAATGGAAAAATATCCTAGAGTGAGGATTAACAACAACGAAATTCTAGCAGCAAATATCCCTTGCCCATGGAAAAAGAAGAAAGTGACAGTCTCCAAGAACTGTGTGATCTTTCTCAGCTGAGAAATGCCCTCTATATTTCTTTAGAAAATGTGAAACCAACTAAAATTCTCTAGTGCTTCATCATGTCCAAATCAACATGGCTTATTCAGGGAAGGCACAAAACTCTGTCTTCATGTTTTTATCTCTAGTCTAGCGTCTCTGTATTTAAGCAAAGAGGGACAGCCATGGTTTTTCCCTTAATTTTCTATGTGGAGCTCACTGTTTCTGATATATCAAAATGTAAAATGACACAAAAAGACATGTAGAGAGGTTTTTTGATTGTTGTTGTTTTTTTAGGATGGGATTGAGGCTGGTGAGTATCTGCATATGCATTCTAGTTTCTACAAAATAAAAGGAGAAGGGAGAAGAAGACTTACTCTCAAAAAACACAGGCACTTGGTAGCACTTACCTCTGAGTTCTCACCCACCAACAAACACCAATCTCCAACCATGGAGAAACCACGGCCAAGGTGATTGGAACAAAATTAAACAGGAACACGATATTCCTATAAACACAGTCTCCAAAGCACCTGTCTTTAGAAGAGGTTGTGCAAATCTAGTTTAATCCAGGATTTTCTCTCAAGTTCCAGGTTTAGAGGGTGCATATTTTGGCCATGGGAAATAGGACTGAATAGCAGATAGTTACGGAATGTCACCTTTGGAAAACTTCTGTATTGTCAGTGTCTTGAACACAGGAGAAGAAGAAGGCACTAACCTATGTTGGACCCACGCTAGGTGCATGTATATGGCATCTCGTTTAACCTTCATAACAATCATCTGAGGTAAATACTATTATTCCGATTTTAAATAAGAAGAAAGTCAGTCTTAGAGAACTTAGAAGTCCATCCACCTCTCTCCACCTTCAAGCCACCACCTTCTCTTGACAGAAAAACTGAAATAGTTTCTTAGCTGGTCTCCCTTCTTTGGTTCCTGTGTTCTATGTTCAACTATTCAGATTTGAAAACATGTATCTGATCGTGTCCCTTTTCCTGCTTCAAACCCTCCAAGAGCTTCCCAATTGCACTTCAACTAAAACCCAAGCCCGTGTGTATGTCTACAAGGGCTCCCAAGATCCGGCCCCAGCTGCGCATTCTGCTCCCACCTCCTGTCAGTCTCCACCTCACTCACTAAGCTCCAACCATTCTGACTTTCCTTCCTTCCTTCCGTTCTCCAGCATGCCACATCCATGCCTGCCTCGGGGCCATCGCACATGCTGTTCCCTCTGCCTAAAACACTCCTGCCCGAGCGGTGACAAGGTAGTAAGCACATGATGAGTTGCCAACCGAGTGTGTGGATAGGAAGGAGAGATCACTGGAGGCTGACGCAGCCTTCACAAGTCACAAGAGGAAGACGAGCCCATGTGGAAGGGTGTGTGGAGGGGCCTGGGGTGAGCGGTGAAGGTGAGCAGGACGCACAGTAAAGGGAAAGGCCATGAGCAAAGTCAGAGACAGGAAGGTGTTTCCAGGGCCTGGTGTGGAGGGCTAGTCAGCTGGAGCAGAGTTTGATCCTTACGGCAGTGGGTCTTCGGCTACTGTCCTAGTGTCCTGTGGCTACCGTAACGAACGGCCACAAAGGCGGTGGCTTCAGACAACACACATTTCATATTGCACAGGTCTGGAGGTCAGAAGTGCAAAACGGGTCCCACAGAGCTCAAACCAGCGTGTCCACGGAGCGAAGTTCCCTCTGAAGGCTCCAGGGGAAATTTCTTCTTGCCTTTTCCAGGATCTTAGGCACAGTCTGCCACATGAGCAAGTCACCTTACTACACCCCAGCGTCCTCACTGCAGTTGGGTTTAATGACAGCACTTGCTCCACAGGGTGGTTATGGGGAATAAATAAGGCAATGTGTGTAAAGAACTCAGCTTCATGTCTGACACAGACCGCACTCAATGAATACATGCTCATTTTAAAAACAAAACAAAAGAGATACTAAGGAAATGCAGAGTTTTGAAAGGTGAGCAGTCATAAACATTGCAGGGGTCCATGATTCCCTTTACTTATCTCTTTTGAAAAGTCACCCAGCTCTCACTTTGCAAAATCAAAACAAAACGCAGGAACTAAAGAAAGTGGGAAAGAAGATGACGTGTGTGTGTGTGTGTGTGTGTGTGTGTGTGTGTGTACACTCCATGCACAAGCATATGTTGAGAGGAAAGAAGACCACTCAGAGAAACTGCTTTTCTTATGTTTCTCCCTAAAACATGTGTATATGTAGAAAGGGAAGATGGAGATAAGGGAATAAACATCAGCAAAGGATTCTGCATGTGGAGGAGTGTATGGGAGAGATAAACAACAGACAGATGGGTAACAGGAAATCACGTTGCACCGGCTGAAGAGCAGGAGAAAAGAAGCATTTCTGCAGTTACAGGTGTGCACCGATTTATCAGCTAAGTTATCACCTCACAAGTCGCACAGGTACGGGCTGGGTGACCACTTGGCAGGGGGTGATGGACACTCAAGTATCTGCTGGGGGTGGACTTAGGGGCTTTTTTTCCCCAAAAAAATCCTCACTGGAGGATATTTTTCCATTCATCTTCAGATAGAGTAGGAGGGAGGGAGAGAGAAAACATCGATGTGAGAGAAACACATCAACTGGTTGTCTCCTGCATGACCCCAACCAGGGCTGGGGGCAAACTGTAACCGAGGTACGTGCCCTTGACCGGAATCAAATCCAAGACTCTTTGATCTGCAGGCCGACGCTCTAACCACTAAGCAACCGGCCAGAGCTTAGGGGTTTTTAATATCCTTTCCAGTGAGTAGGCATAACCTCCAAGATTTCATCTCTTTCTATAAAAGCTGCTTAAACCACCTATGAAATCCACGGTACCTCCACAGTTCATGATTTTTCTGACAGCAGTTGTGGTCAAAATATGTCTGCTTCTTAAATAATCAGCCAGTTGTCCTCCAACAGGCACAATGATGGTCATCACCATGTGTGGGAGTGCAGACAAGAGGCCCACCTGGGTGAAAAGAAACACCGAGCTGTTTTTAGCTGCTTCCTGGAGAGTACGAATCCCTGCTCCCACCAGCTACACTGCCCACTACCATCACCACCAAATGCAATCAGCTAATTAATTATATGGGACTCAGGTAGGCCTGAATTTTGTAATAAATAGACAATGAATGAATGAATGATTTCAAGGGTAGACCTAATTGTCTCCTCCACCAGATTGGAAGCTCCTTGAGGGCAGAGATGACTGTTATTCATCACAGAGGCCCCAGCACCCAGCATAGGCCTGGTGCACGGTAAGTGAACACTTGACACAGTGAATGTTCATTGATGGCACCTGCTATTCCCTGGCTATGTGAGCTCTGCCCTGGTCACTTTGGACAGTCCCTGCAGCGATGTGGACATCTACCCCTACTAGGCTGCTGTTCTTCCCTCATAGAAAGGAGGCTTAATTCTTTTATGATGATAGTTTAAGTCTCACCATTCACACCCTTCCTCCCCGAAACACAGGCAACCCAATGACAATGGCTGGGGAAGATTTCAAAAGGCTCTTCTACAGGACAATGGTCATCCTTGTCATAGCACAGGGATGGTCTGCAAAACAAGCCTTAAGGTTCTTACTGCTATTCACTGAGTGTTTATAGAAAAAGAAAACCTCTCACTGTTAATCTTTTTATTCTTGTCTAATATGCCATCCTTGAGTTAGAGTCATAAACACTTTGAGGTCATGTCGAACATGAATCTTGAAAAGCAGCTTACTGCAGCTCTGATCCTTGCTAAGAAGAAATTAAATAACCATGTATACTACGCACAGAATGTACGACTTGTCTGACCACCAGGGTATCAGGGGTCATATGACTGTTATAAATTATAATGAGCAATTTTATTATTCTATCATGCAAAAATTTTGTAAGTAGAAGCAAGAGATTTAAAGTGCGAGAACATTTGAAGCATCTAGGTGTTTACCTTACTTATTGCAAATCCAAAGACCTCTTCAAAATACGCAGGCTGACTTATTAACAGCAAATAAAAGGTCCAGCTTCTGCAGAAATTTGCCACAATGATCGCATAAACCGGCAATGACGTGAAAAATCTTTTCCATGGTGTATTAAATTTCTAGAGAGTAAAAATACCATGAGATTTTTTGGGAAATATATTTGACATGTCATTTTCCTTCTATTATTTGTCAATTATAGTTGATATTCAATATTATTTTACATTCATTCCAGGTGTACAGCACAGTAGTGAGACATTTATATAATTTACAAAGTGATTCCCCTGATTAAGTCTAGTACCCACCTGGCACCACATATAGTTATTACAATGTTATTGGCTATATTCTCTACAAGGGAATATACATCCCTGTACTTTACATCCCTGTGACTATTTTGTAACTTTCAACTTATACTTCTTAATACCTTCACCTTCTCCACCCAGCCCATTAACCCCTGTCCCATCTGGTAGCCATCAATTCACATGTTATTTTTCTTAAGAGGACAACACAGCCACTAAGAGAAATAACTCACGGAGAAGAGAGAGGCAAATCCTTCTATCCACCGATACTTACGCTTAGACTGACCACGTTGGCTCCTTCCCCTATACTTGTCTCTATGTAGGTCCTCTCCTCCTGGGATATTGTTGGGTGAGCTGCTGGGCACTCATAGGCCTGCAACAGCCAAAAGATGTACCAAATAATGCCAAACATACCTGCAGGTAAAAAACAAAAGGTTTTACTATATGGTCTCATTTCCTTCCATCTCTAAGTTTTTCAATTTTCAAAATATTCCCAAACAGTACTATGTTCAGCTAGTGGAAAGGGTTTTGTTGTTGTTAACTGGTATTTGAGCCCTGGCCGGTTTTGCTCAGTGGTTAGAGCTTTGGCCCACGGACCAGGGAGTCCTGCTAAGGGGTTCCCGCTAAGGGTATGTACCTGGGTTGCAGTTTGTCCCCGGCCCCAGTTGGGGTTGTGTGGGTGGCAACCAATCGATGTGTCTCTCTCACATCGATGTTTCTCTCTCCCTCTTCCTCACTTTCTCCTTCCCACTCTTTCTGTAGATAAGTGCAAAAATATCTTCAGGTGAGGATGGAAAAAAAATTTTAACTGGTATTTGAAGATAGAAACTCAGCTGTTAAATGAGTCATAGGTAGACAAGTATTCCTTGATATCGTAATCTCTTAGCCTATCCCATTAGACAATAAAATACCATCTCTATGAGTCACCCGTGGGAGCTCATGAAGGCAAATCACTCACCATAAATATAAAAGACGGAGGCCCAGCCAATGTACTGTACCAACACGCCCGCCAGGGGCATGGCAATCACTGCCCCCGCATAGGAGCCTAGAACAGAGAGAGTGCGGGACATTTACCAGTCATCCTGCGAACTTTCATCCCGTTCACAGATCACGGGGCTGGGGGGGGACGCATCAATGGAGCAGGAGTGAAAACACCTCCACGCAGAACAGGCAAACCTGCCTTAAGACAGGGCGTCCAGGACAGAAAGGTCACCAGGCTACCCTTGAACTTCATCCAGTACCATGGAGGGGTTAGCCAAGATTGTTCAGGCACAGCAATGTGAAATCAATAGCAAGGTGGAATAAGAAAATGAGAAAAATCCGAGAGAAATTTGAGAAAATTCAACCAGGCGCGTTATTGGGTGCTGAGGGCAGCACGTGGCGAAACCCGAATCTGCCCTTCAGAGCCCACAGGTCAGAGGGTTATCACCAGGTCTTCAAATAGGGGACTTCAAACGATTAAAGGATCATGTTCTTTTAGAGTCTTGATTTTTTAACATCAGAAAACAGTTAAATGCCTTTCAAAGAGTTCAGTGGAAGGATGCCAGCATGGCTGCTGTCCCCATCCACCTCCCGAATGGGTACCTTTTCACGTGTACCTCTTACTTCACCTGGCACGCACTTGCCTGTGCGTGGATGTTGGTCTTGTCTAGACAAGATAAGGAGGGCAGAGGCGGTGCCCTGGCCTCCACTGTCTCCTGCAGCTGCATAATATCTACGGGGAAACACGAGCCCTGCAAACTCCCAATAAATAGGAACTGAATTTATAAAATAAAATAAAATAGCTATCACCCTGGCCAGTTTAGCTCAGCGGTTAGAGTGTCGGCTTGCAGACCAAAGGGTAGCAGGTTCAATTCCCAGTCAAGGGCATGTACCTCGGTTTGGGGTTCGATTCCCAGCCCTGGTCAGGGTCGTGCAGGAGGCAACCAATCGAGTGTCTCTCTCACATCGATGTTTCTCTCTCTCTCTCCCTCCCTCCCACCCACTCTATCTAAAAAAAAAGAAAAGAAAAAGAAAAAATATCCTCAGGTGAGGATTAAATAAAAAATAGCTACCTGAAATTCCTTCTGGGCTGTGAATGAAAAAAAAAAACACCTTGCTTTAGTAACAGTAAACAGCACAGGGCAATTCTGTGTCCCAGAAAGCAATACTAAGGAAGACCTCCGGAAACGCGAATTTGGGGGTCCCAGAGAGGACAAAACCCTATCTTTCCAAGCAGGGCTGGCTGGCCCCGAACGGCCCACCGTGGAATCCCCAATCTGGACACCACGACAGGAGGCTCCCCGTCTCTAACCGCTGTCCTCAGAGGACGGGCTGAGACCTCTGCATCGTCTGCTGACTTGAGGAGCAAACACACCAAGTGTGTGAAGCTGTGCGGGGCTGTAGTTAGAGCCGCAGGCACCGGCTGTGACGGCTGGTGTCCTGTGCAGAACGACGGTGCACGTTTTCCTTGTTCACCTCAGACTTCCTCAGAGCAGGGAGGCTAGCGTTCCAGAGCATTCCGGAGAGAGCTGCACCCAACTCCGCTGTGTGTGGAGAAGGTGGTCTTCTTCCCAGGCCCCACACCCTGGGCTGGGGGTGGGAGGCTCCTCTTTAGGTGATGAGAAGAATGCCCAGGACAGGGAGGGTCGGGGGATCACCAGGCACTAAGACGCCCTGGGTGCCGTCCGTGCCCAGCACTGTGCTGAGTGTTCAGGACCCATGATGTCACCGAACCCTCTTTTCAACCTGATGACCTTGGTACCAAGGTCGCCCCCATTTTACAAGAAGGAAACCAAGGCTGGAGGGGGAGGGAAGGTGCCTGAGGTCGCACAGGTGTGAGTGACCGGGGCCCAGCCTGCTGGAATCCAAAGCCTTTCCCCTGAACTACATCGTAATTCAGGCCAGGCTCCCCCGCTCAGAAACGCTGTCATTCCTGAGTGAGGAGCATTTTTTCCACCGAGGAAATGTCATAACTTGAAACTGTCCTTCCCTGTCCATTGAACAAACTCGCCCCTTCCCTGTCCGTTGAGCACGGCGGCACGAATCTCCCATGACGTGGCCCACTCCACCCGCGCCGCCCGACGGCCTCCATCCCCTGAGCTCAGCACAGACGGCAGAGGAAGCCCTGGTGCTTGCTGAGTGGCGGGCAGAGTGGGCCATGGCAGCTCTGGGGGTGGGAGCGTCCCCGGTTCTGTCCTCACTAGTTCTGAGAAGTGACATTTGTTCCTCCCTCACCTTCATTTCTTCTCTAAAGCAGTGGCTGTAATGAGATGTCCTCTAAAGTCCCTCCCAACCCCAATGCTCTTTAAGTATAAAAACCAACTAGCACCCTGGCTGGTGTGGCTCAGCTGGTTGGAGCGTCATTCCGTACACCGAAAGGTCTCGGGTTCGATTCCCGGCCAGGGTATATACCTAGGTTGCAGGTTCTGCGCCCGGTTGTGGCATGTGCAGGAGGCAACAGATCGGTGTTTCTCTCTCTCTCTCTCCTTTCCTCTCTCTAAAATCAATAAACATATTCTCTGGCAAGAATTGAAAAAATAAATAGAAAAGAACCAATTAGCCCCAAGCCTATGTTTCCTTCTAATGGCATTTCCCTTGGCTGGTCTTTGAAACCGAGGCCACACCTCAGCTGGGAACTGTAATAAAGCCCGTGACTTGGATCAGGTATGTTCCCTTGAGAGTCAAACCGTTTCTTACATCAGCCCCCTTAGGGCTAGAAGGACACCGAGAATGGGAGCAGCACGAGTCACGCTTGCTTTGCTGGCGAATCGAAAGCAAAGGCCTTACAAGTGAACCACCCGAGGAGAAGCAGCTCAGGGTCTGACAGTTCACAAGACCAGCTGGGGCAGAATCTCATATTCTCCCAGAGTTGGTGTGAGGCCAGTATGGGGGTGGAGATGATCTTGAACAGCAAACAGGAGGACAGAAGTGGCTTCTGAAGACAAGAGAAGCTAAAGACGTGAGACATCTCAGCTGTGCACGCAGTTCCGGACTCGGCAGGAGCAGGCACGTTGCTGAGCACACCACACCCCATGTCAGGGATGAGGAGGGCGGGTTACGGAGATAAAGAGAAAGGAAAAGAATGAAGGGCCTGGCCTGTGTGGTTCAGTGGTTGAGCATCGACCATGCACCAAGAGGTCACCGGTTCAATTCCCAGTCAAGACACATGCCCAGGCTGTGGGCCTGATCCCCAGTGGGGAGCATGCAGGAGGCGGCCAATCGATGTTCTCGCTCATCGAAGTTTCTATCTCTCTCTCCCTCTCCCTTCCTCTCTCTCTAAAATTAATTTTAAAAAAAGAGAGAGAGAGAGAAAGAATGAGGGAGAAATAAAAACATTCATAGAAATAAAGAGGAAGCTTTACTTCCCCTTTAGCTAACAAGCACAGGTTAGCTTATCTTAGGAAAGGAACATTAGCTTGAAAATTAGACAGACTTAAAATCTGATGCTCATTCTGCCTGGGCCCCACTGCGACTTTTGCGACCGAAGGCACTTTTGTCTTCCTGGGCCCCTCACCCTCTAAAATAAATTGAAAATATATGTTGCACCTGTGTTGATGGGGGGCGCATGTGCTGTTCGTGTTCAGCTGTTGATTGGTACCTAGGGAGACCTTTCAGAACACCGACTACTCCCAAAGGCATGGCTCAGAGGGGGAGCAACCTTAGCAAGTGACGTTTGGAGACCCAGGACTTAAAGTCACATCACTACTGAAAAGCCACTCATTTAGTTTTGGGTAAGGGGGATGGTCTCCACTTCGTTTTAATCTGGAATGTAATCATGAAAACCAGTTAAAGGGCCCCTGTGACAATGTATACGTAGTAGTGAGCAGTGAGGAACATTCTGAATCCAGGATCAGATGCTCCAGCTCCATGACTTGGTAACTACGTGAACTTGGGCAAGTGATTGAACTTTAGTTTCAGTTCAATGGAACTAAACTTTAAACTTTAGTCTCAGTTTCTCCCTCTATGAAAATAGGAGTGGGGGGCTGAATGATTTTATCTCTTCAGCTTTTGACTTTGGCAAGTATTGTTGATGGCTAATCCAACAACCATTTCCAACTCCTTCCTTTTGACCTTCCTCTCCTAAAGATGCTGGGAAAGCTAGGCTCCGGCTTCCCTAGCCTACTCTGCAGTTAGTAAAGGACAGGACACAATGAGGACCAAGGAAATAGAAGTGGAAGCCTGCTAGGGGGGTTTTGGGAAAGTCTTTGCTTTTCCAATGAGTGGAACATAGGTGTCTAGGATGCCCGTTCCCCCTTCTTCCTGCCCTCAATGTGGACTCGATGCCTGGAGCTGTGGCAGCTATCTTGTGAACATGAGGAACAAGTCTGAGAGTAAAAAGCTATCACTCTGAGGACCATGGAGTAGAAAGTCAGCATGTGTAGGCCCTGGATGGATGAATCATTGAGCAGCAGAACCAACACCAGCAACCACTCACCTTTGGACTTCCATTATGTGAAAAAAATAGATTCTATTTAGTAGGGTCTTCTTTTGAAACCAAAAGCATCCCCAAATGAAACGCGTTACGGCTGTAGTACACTTACCACAGAAAGAGGTCGTGGCCAGGCGGCTTCTCTCCAAAGGCGGCGCCCACTTGCTCCACATCCCGTGGCAGGCTGGGTAGGTCACACCCTGGCCAAATGGTGGAAAATAGATTATTGGATTGGACTCTAGTTTCTGTTTATGTTTAAAATGTGGATCCTGATTCTTTAACACAGGCTACAATATAAAAGCCTAATTTCATAGATACTAAATAGCATGTGTCAGCCACTTTGACTGACAGCACAGATGCTCCCATTTGAATACCAGTTCAAAGGTAAGCATGGTGGGGAGTGGGGGAGAAGGTCTTTATAGTTCTATGTTATATAGAATATCACTATAGAAAGGGACTTCCAAGCCCTGGCCGGTAGCTCAGTTGGTTAGAGCGTCATCTAATACACCAAAGTTGCAGGTTCGATCTCTGGTCAGGGCACATACAAGAAGCAACCAAAGAATGCATAAATAAGAGGAACAACAATCAATGTTTCTCTCTCTCTTTCTCTCTCTCCCCTCTTTTCTCTAAAATCAATTTTTAAAACAGGCTTCTCAAAAAAAAAAAAAAGAAAGAAAGAATTACCTTTCTACGGCTTTACGTATTGTGTTTGATTGCTCTCAAAACTTTAAATAAATAAAAAAAAAAGAAAAAAAGAAAGGGACTTCCCCAATTCTCTCATTTCAAGATACAGAACCTGAGGCTCAGAGCCATTAAGTCACTAGACTCAAGTCTTCATGGCTGCAATATCATCTTCTTTCCACCATATCAGTATTTTCAAAAATGTGGTATATATCCCTCTAGTTGGACTAGAGTTGGATGTGAGGTGCTACAGCAACCTGGATTTTTTAAATATAATTACGATATATATATTCTAATATGCTTCAGGAAATATATAACCAGCACATCAAACCCATGATTTCAAAGACATTGCTGCTTGTGATGAGGTTCTTTGTGTTCATGGGTTTTCGGAACACAGCCACGCCCATTTGTTAACCAGTGGCCTCCAGCTACTTTTGCACCGACAATGGCTGGGCTGAGTATTTGGCCAAGTCCTCTGGCTATATTATGCTTCCTTCTTCATCAAGTAGAACTTTACAGATTTATTAATAAAGCCACTTACATTGTTTCAATGGGAAGAGCCCTTGTGATGTGAACTGTACGTTTGGAGCTTTGGTTTCATCATTTATTAAATGAAAAGGGTTAGATCAGGTTATCTCCAAGGTCAGTCCTTACTCATCTAAAATTCTGTACTCTATGAAACGGTCCTTTATTGTGTTTAAATTTGGAATCACACAAGGTTTGTATTCTGTTCATTTTTTTAAATATGTTTTTATTGATTTCAAAGAGAGAAGGGAGAGGGAGAAGAAACAGCCATCAGTTGCTTCTCAAACACACCCTAACCAGGAACAAAATTCCCAACCTGGGCATGTGCCCTGATGGGGAATCGAACCGGCCACCACCAAGTGAGCCACACTGGCCAGGCACACCACAAGTATTAAATGAAAGTATTCATAATGGTAACCATAACCAGAGAGTTGAGATAGCAAAACAAGGTAGAAGACAGGAAAACCCAGTAAAAGGAGTTTTCTTCAGGGGCTGAATTTTCTAAGGAACCATGTTGTCACCAGCGACATTGAAAACTGTTAAGGAAAGAACCTCCTACCTCCACCAGACCTTGCAAAATCCGGACACACATGACGCAGCCGTAATGCACTCTGGCTGCAGATGGGATGAACATGTTCAAGGTCGATGTTAAGAAGATGGCGGCTCCAAAGACCCTGAGGGACCAAGCACAGTGTTACTGGGCAGGCCTGCTCACGGATGTCACACGTAAGCTAAATACCAGAAACAAACCTAACAGTTCGTGGGAGATCACTATGGACATTAACAGAAAGAAAAATAGATGTGTTACAGTCTAGTGTGTCCCAAACTAGACTGTTGGGCTGCTTTGATTCCCAGGCTCCGGGCCCTGGACCAATCAATCATGGGCACGTTTTTGGCAATACAGGCATGTCCTGCCTGGATTGAGGTCCTGGCGGTGGAGGTGAGCTTGCTGGAGACCCCCTTCTGCTTGGTTCGGCCCAACGGACCCATCCTGACTATTACCTCCTGACCTGTGCACATTCGGGCTGTGTCTCCTGCTTCACATTCTGCTCTCACATTACCAGCGGGGACGCAGACTGTCTGGGAAGCACACTGTGTACTGGAACCAGCCAAGCACAAGACAGGCCGTGTACCTGTCTCAGCCCCCACTCTGCCCCTGCCTTCTCCTCCCCGCCTTCCCCAGCGAGCCCTGGGAATGAGCAGCTGCACGCTCAGCCTTTCTCACGTGTGTTAAAGGTGCTTCGGCCTGTTTTACATGCTGGGACATTATGTATGATTTCTTTTTAGGGTAGAAGTGTAAGCAGTAACCCCAGAGGCCACAGGAGACCGTATTTTCATCACATTTTAAAAGAATATTATCGATAAGTGAAAATAAAAAAGGACATAAATTAGATAAAAACAAAATACAGTCATGCTTATATATATATATTGAGATTCTATGGTAGTAACCGTCACATGTTTTTTACCTGGACTGATAAAACAAAATCTATTTTATATTGCAACCCAATACATACTCCTACACACAAACGTAACATGTTTCAACAACCAAAACTTAAATGTGCAGCGAGCTGAGGTATTTTTTATTCTTTTATTCTATTTACTTATCTTCTCTGCTATTTATTTTTCTTTTTTTTTTTTTAGAAAATGCTCATTGGTAAATTATTATATTGATTTTATTACCATCTAAAGAGTTGGTTTAGAATTCGAAAAGCACTGCTTTATAAAATGCATACTTTACAAAATCCGTACATGTGAAGTCACACAGGACACACAATTGGAAGGGACCTGGGGATATTTAGCACACTCCTTTTCTGGTGCATATCCACCCTCCGTCCCCTCCAAGTGGTCATCCTCTTCTGCTTGAATACCTCTAGTAACAGAACTCACTGCTTCCTGGGGCACCTCATTCTGTCTTGGCTACTTTGAATTGCTCAAACACCTACTATAGGATCTCAAGGGCATTAAAGACATCCTGCAATCTAGAGGCCAGTCCCTACCACTCACATGACGAAACCTGTATGGTACTGGAGGATATTTACATAGGATCACAGAATGTCATGGGTCAAAGGGAACTCAAACACAGCCTAAGCCATGCTCCATTTCACAGGTGTGGAAACTGATGCCCGGAAGGTGATTCAGTAGAGGTCACCAAGTGAGTTACTTAGGGTCCAGAAGCTGTTTCTCCTGACTCAGACTCAGCTGTTCTTTTTACTACATAATCACTTAAAGAACTGCAAGAGAAGTTAGATTAAATAAAAAGAGACTCTGAGAACAGGATCGTGTGGATTGATACCTATGAATCACATCTATCGGAATGGCTCCTATCTTCCATTCTGTATCCCAGACTGAGAGCCAGCTCCGCAGACTTGGTAGGAGTACAAAGCCATGTTATGATCTATGTAGCACTCGTGTTATATTGATGTATCTTACCTGTTAGCAGCGAACTTGTTTGAAATGAAACCACCTGGAATTTGGGTCACAATATAACCCCAGAAAAAAGATCCGTGGATAAAGCCCACCGTCTCTGGGTCCCAGTTAAACTGTGCTTTCTGAAAATGAGAAATCAGACCCAGTTGTTTGTAAGAAAACACTTGACCGCCATTTTTCATTCATGAGCCTACATAATAAACCCACAAGTTCTTTCTTTCCTTTGTTTATTCAATAATTATTTATGGAGGGCCTCTGGTGTGCTGGGGATGTAGCAGTGAACACAACAAACTACCTGCTCTCCTGGAGCTCACCTTGTAGTGAGAGATCGTGTACACATTTATACATATGTATATATGGTATACACACATACACACACACACACATATATAGCAAATGCATATATGCCATCATATATTATGGTACATATGGGTATGTATATATACCAAATATATTTATACCATATACCAAATTAAATATATATATATATATACACACACACACATACAATTAACCCTTGGTTTTCTAATGTCTCCCATCTCGAACAACTTGCTTCTCAACCCAACATGTTGGTACCTGTGTGATTAGTCACACGTCTCTCAGGCAACAAACAAAGGAGGGGATGATCGAGTATAAGCCAGTTTACTGCTATTCACACCTCAGGAAATTATGCTGCGAATATTTTCATGTGTTTTTGCTTTTGTTGCTGCTTACTGTTATTATTAAATTTTCACTTATTACTGTATATATCATTCCTTTTTGTTAAATTTTCACTTATATTTCCTGTGCCTTTTGTTTTTAAAGTGTTTATTTATAGCTCAGCCAGTGTGGCTCAATGGCTGAGCATTAGCCCATGCACCAAGAGGTCGCCGGTTCGATTCCCAGTCAGGGCACATGCCCAGGTTGTGGGCCTGATCCCCAGTGGTGGCATGCAGGAGGCAGCCAATTGATGTTCTCTCTCATCAATGTTTCTATCTCTCTCTCTAAAAAAATCATTACAGCAAAAAAAATTTTTAAAAAAGAAAAAAACAAAGTGTTTATTTATAGATTAAACAGTACATTCTATATGTCCTGTGTATAAGAAAAGTTAAAACGGAAAATCACTTTGGAAGGCTGGAATGGATTAATTTAATTTACACTATTTGTAATGGGCAGAAATGCTTGAGCTTTTAAATCCACTGTATATATACCAAATAATGGCCAGCGCCAAGAAGAAAATAAAACAGCTTGTGAAGAAAACAAAAAGTAAGTCCTAGGTTTGCTGAGTTATTTACTAGGTTATTCAGATGCCAATTTAGTGAGGACACAAAGGGAATGAGAGTCTTAAGTCTCTCATTTTTAAAAAGGATAATAAACCTATTTCACCCACCCAGCAGATGTATGGAGAGAAACAGCACAGATATTTCTAGTAGGTTATTCATCTGCTTAGAGATTTTGCATTTAACACATTTAACATTGGGACATCGTGTAGACTCGGTAAATGTCAGCAGTAATTGTGATGATGACGAGAGCATGACAACACCCTGCACAAGTCACACCAGTGAAAATGTGATTTCCAAGGCTGGAATCTATTTCCTCACATTCTTCCTCAAGCAAAGTAGCTCATTCTTTTCAGACTCCCTGCAAATGTCTTTTTTTTTGAGGAGGCTCGCCAATGCCCCTGAATGATATGGCCACTTCTTCCTGTGCTAGCTCCACAGACCTTGGTTCTTACTGCCCAGGTACCTACGCTAGCCATGCACACGTGTGTCCATTGCCCACATTGGGTGGCAAGCAACTCTAAGGTAGCACCCGTGTCCTTTGATTTTATAGCCTCAGAACCTAAAACAAATACCAGGAACATAGAAGATGCAAGTAAATAGTTACCAAATGAATAAATGAATGGCTTTGTAAACACTGGTATCAAAATGCATGGTGTTCCCCAATCAGAAAGAATATATGCACCCCTATGTTCAGAGCAACACTATTTACAATAGCTAAGATCTGGAAACAGCCTAAGTGTCCAATCAGTGATGAGGGGATGAAAAAGCTGTGGTACATGTACACAATGGAATACTATGCAGCCGTAAGAAAGAGAGATCGCTTATTCTTTGAGACAACCTGGAGAGCATTAAGCTAAGTGAAATAAGCCAATCAGAAAAAAAAAACAAATACCACATGAGCTCACTTATTTGTGGAATATAATGAACAAAATAGACCCAGAGACATAGAAAGGAGAATGGTTCAGAATGACAGACCTCAGAGGAGGGGGTGGAAAGGATGGATGAGATAAACCAAAGATCTTATACGCATGTATGCGTAACCAATGAACATAGACAAACAATGCTGGGGTGGGGTGGGATAGGGAGGAGGGTATCTGTGAGGAAAAAAGGAGAAACACCTATAACAAAAACAAATTAATAAAACTAAAAAAAAAAAAACACATGGTATTCCTTTTCTGCCTAGGGTGGCACAGTGGTTAAGGGCTTTGACCCTCACACCAAAGGGTCACAGGTTTGATGCCCATTGCAGGAGGCAACCAATTGATGTGTGTCTCTCACAACAATCTCCCTCTCCTTCCCTCCCTTACACTGTCCCCAAAAATATCAATGGGATGAAATATCCTTGGGTGAGGATTAACATCAACAACAAGAATACAAGGTGTTCCTATGATGGAGTAAAGGTTTTTAGTTATCAATATACTATGTCTTATAAACTTAAATCACAGTTTATTTTCCTGTCACAAATTGTTAAGTATATGTTTGCTCACTTATTCAACATTCACCTAGTGCCTCCTGGGCGCTGGGTCAGGTGCCAGACAATGTAAATACAAACTCAAGTAAGACTTGCCTTTGCCTCTAGGAGATCACAGTACACGTGACAATGGCCTGTACTCTACACTGTAGTTCTCATTTTGCAGATTGGGAAGTTAAAGCTCAAGAGTAACAATCATTCATTCAAATCAGCTCACCAATTTTTTTTATCTTTATTGTTGAATGTAATACAGATATTTCTCATTTTTCTCCCATTGACCCTCTCCTCCACACTCCCGCTCCCCTCCTGCCTTTTCCCACACTGTTGTCTGTGTCCATTGGTTATGCATATAAGTTCCTTGGTTTATTTCTTCCCACCTCCCAACCCCTTTCACTTTGAGGTTTGTCAGTCTAGCAACCAATTTGTACTTCTTAATCCCTTCACCTTTTTCATCCATTCCCCCAACCCTTTTCCCATCTGGCAACTAACAAAATGTTCTCTATATCTATGAGAATGTTTCTGTTCTGCCTGTTCATTTTGTTTGTAGATTCAATTGTCGATAGATATGTATTTGTTGCCATTTTGTTTGTTCATATATTTTATCTTTTTCTTCAAAAAGACCCTTCAACATTTCATATAATAATGGTTTGGTGGTGATGAACTCCTTTAGCTTTTCCTTGTCTGGGAAACTCTTTATATGGCCATCAATTCTAAATGACAGCTTTGCAGGATAGAGTAATCTTGGTTGTAGGTTCTTGCTTTTCATCACTCTGAATATTTGTTGCCACTCCCTTCTGGCCTGCAAAGTTTCTTTTGAGAAATCAGCTGACAGCCTTATGGGAACTCCCTTGTAGGTAACCAACTGCTTTTCTCTTGCTGCTTTTAAGATTCTCTCTTTGTCTTGAACCTTTTGCATTTTGATGATGATGTGTCTTGGTGTGGGCCTCTTGGGATTGATCTCGTTTGGGACTCTCTGTGCTTCCTGGACTTGTATGTCTGTTTCCTTCACCAAGTTAGGGAAGTTTTCTGCCATTATTGTTTCAAATAGGTTTTTGATTCCTTGTTCTCCCTCTTCTCCTTCTGGTACCCCCAAGATGTGAATGTTGGCATGCTTAAAATTGTCCCAGAGGCTCCTTACACTATCCTCATTGTTTTGGATTCTTTTTTCTTTTTGCTGTTCTGATTGGGTGTTTTTTGCTTCCTTATATTCCAAATTGATAGTTTGTTTCTTGGCTTTACCTACTCTACCATTGAATCTGTGTAAATTATTCTTTATTTCAGTTAGTGTCCCCTTCATTTATGACTGGTCCAATTTTATGCTCTTGAGGCCCTCACTAAGTTCGCTGAGATTCTCACTAAGTCCATTGAGCATCCTTATAAGCAGTGTTTTGAACTCAGCATCTGTTAGGTTGCTTATCTCCATTTTGCTTATTTCTTTCCTGGGGTTTTGTTCTGTTCTTTCATTTGGGACCTGTTTCTTTTGTCTCCTCATTTTGTCTGCCTCCCTGTGTTTGTTTCAGTGTATTACTTAACGAGAGGTATGTGGCTACCTGAGACCAGATGCTGCTTGTTTGAAAGAATTTAGGAAAAACCTGAAGCAGGATCCAAGACAGGCCAATCCTATGGTTAAGCAAGTGGCAACATCTTGGGTGAGCCTAAAAGTTGGGTGGGGCAGGGCCTCAGGGAGTCACCAGGGCAGGGCTACCAGTGTGAGCCAGGTTGCTGGAGTCCCAGATATGGCGACTGTCTGCCGCCCCAGGGAAGGGCTCACCAAAGGAACAAAGGCCTCTGACAGCACGTCTGTCCAGGAGAAAGCCCCCTCTCCAGCCCTCGCTCCAGTGCCAAACAGCTCAGTTCTTCCCTGTATGTCTCTGGTGCCCCTCGAGCTGCCTCCCCTCCAAACTTAGAGGGAGAGAGTCCGCTAAGTCCGTGCACGGGCCCTTTAGGGAGCTGCCTGGGGCCCCAGCCGCCTCAGCCTCCCTGAGCCTCAGTTCCTGCTGTTGTTTTGTTGTTGTTTTTTATCCTCACCCGAGGGCATTTTCCCATTTTTTGTTCAGACAGAGTTGGGGGAAAGAGAGAGGAAGAGAGAGAGAGAGAGAGAGAGAGAAACATCGATGTGAAAGGGACACATTGAGTGGCTGCCACCCACACGACCCAACCAGGGGGCCGGGGACAAACTGCAACCGAGGTACATGCCCTTAGTGGGAACCGAACCCAGGTCTCTCTGGACCGCAGGCTGATGCTCTAACTGCTGAACCAAACTGGCCAGGGCAGTTCCCACTGTTTTTTCCAGCCAGAAATTATGGGGACTTCTCTTCCTGGCACTGGAACCCTGAGCTGGGCACCTGGTGTGGGACGGGGACCCCTTAGTCCTCAGGTAGGACC